ATAATAAATATTATATATAATTATTTAATATTGTTAAATTTTGTGTTGTTTGGTTATTTGAAGAATTTTACGGTTTTTCTTAAATTAAAAATCGCACCGTTGGTTTTTGTCTCGATTTCGGTTTATCGCTTTCGATTTATGCTGTGTTTTCGCTATTTTTAAATGAGGTTTGATTTTCGCTCACCTACCTGTATGAGGTTAGATTGTTTATGTAATTTAGTATATCCGGAGTTACTTTTTGTAAATTATTATAGATTATGAATGTACTTCTAATTAGCTATCTATATATTTATTGCACCTTCTTTTAAATTTGTATTGAAAATTTCTTCTACAATCATCGTTCACTATTCTTCAATCAATCGAAAGCCATATATGATCACTAACACCAAACATTAAGGGTACGTTTGGTTATGAAAAAGGGATAATGTCACTGTAGCCCCACAAACATACATGTTTTGGTTTAAAAGGTCCCTTATGTTATTTTTTGGCTTTATAAGAGCATGGATTAACATTAAACCGGCTAATAAGACCATTTTCTAAAAAGTGAAGGGGTCACCCGGTGACCCCAATCCCAATCAGCAGCTTGTCTTCGACATGTCATTACAAAAAGCCAACTCATATGTCCAAATCACATGCCACGTATAACTCTATCCATAAATGAGACCAACCCTTCCTCTGCAAGAAATTATGTTCTTTAGTCGGTTTCATCTACCCCTTTCTTCTATTTTCTTCTATTTTTCATCGAAAAAAAGTGTCTTGGATTCTTGTTATGGTCGTCTACATGAAGATAGATCTTCATTTTGCTGGTTTGTTTACGAGGTATCCAGTGATTAGTTACTTAGATGGAGTGGAGCAAAGGTTTGAGGATGTGGATTTTGCTGGAATGGATAAAAACAAATTTCTATTGTTTATTCAAAGATTCACAAACGAGACATGCGTTGATGTGTACTATTGCATGCCCGATATTGAGTTCCCTGAAGGATTGAAGATAATAGCAACTGAGAAAGACTACCAGAAGTTGATCGAAGTAGGGTATGATTCTGGTTGTGTAATTTCTATGTACATGGATCATATTGGTGTTAATGTTCATCAATGGATTGTTGATGAGATGGCTGAAGTATGCACCTCCGACGACAAGTATTTTGATGTAGGTGACGTAATAGAAGATTTGCATGTTGAGACAGAAGGAGGCATTGAACTAGATGAAGTGCAAGTGCAAGGTAATTTGGATGATAACATTGAAGATGGAGATTGCATTCCAATGAACAAGACCTTGAATGATGTATTTTTAAACAAGCTTTGCCCCAAGGAGCAGCCAACTCCAGACAGTCTACCTCATGAGGATCCATATGATCAGATGGATGAACACGACCCAATTCATGAGGAGGTAACAGATTTTAATGAAAATTTTCATTGGAAAAAGCAAAAACCTGTGTTAGGAATGAGATTTGAAAGTCCTAAACAGTTAAAACATATGTTGTGTAATTATGCTGTTGCTAAAGGGTGTTAATTATGCTACAAAAAATGATAGTAGGAGGCTTTTAGTTAAATGTTGTTCAGGGCAATGCAAGTTTAGATTGTGGGCTTCATGGATGAGTGAAGAAAAATCTTTCCAGATTAAGTCTCTTTTAGATGAGCATAATTGTGCAAGAAATTTTAAAATGGGGTCTATTGTAAACTATGCATGGATTGGTAGCCATTTCACAACACAATTCTTACAAAAACAAAAAATGAGTGTTAGGCTACTAAAGAAAGAAGTAAAACAAAAATTTGGGATTGATGTGAGTATGGGACAATTTAGAAGAGCAAAGAAATATGCAATTGAACTAATTGAAGGCACACTAGTTGAGCATTATGCCAAGATTTGGTCATATGGTGAAGAGATAAGAAGATCCAATCCAGGATCAACTGTCAAAATGGATGTCAACAATATGCTTGATGGGAAGACATATTTTAGTAAGTTTTATATATGTTTTGAGGGGCTGAAACAAGGCTGGAAAGGCAGTTGTAGAAGAGTGATAAACCTGGATGGTTGTTTCTTAAAGGATTATGTAGTGGAGAGTTGATATGTACCATAGGAAGAGATGCTAACAATCATATTTCCCAATAGCATGGGCAGTTGTGTGTGTGGAAAACAAAGAAAATTGGAAATGGTTTTTGGAGAATCTTAAAGATGATATAGAAATGGAAAATGGTTTTGATATAACCATGATGTCAGATCAACATAAGGTATATCACTTACTATACAACTTCATATTTTTTTGTTGATGAACTTCTTTTTTCTTAACAGATGAATTGAAATTGTGTAGGGGCTATTGGAGGCTGTGAAGGAAGTATTGCCTACAGCTGAACACAAACAGTGTGCAAGGCATATTGTTGCCAACTTTAAGAAAAGATTCAGTGGTGTGCATTATGAGAGGATGTTTTGGAAGGCATGCAAAGCATCAACTGAACCTTTATTCAATGCATCCATGAAGGAAATACAACTACTTAATCCTACAACATTTGATTACCTTATGGAAAAGAACCCAAAATCATGGTGTAGAGCTTTCTTTCAGGAGGGGAGTATGTGTGATGCAGTTGAAAATGGATTATCTGAAATCTTTAAGAATGTCATTAGAGATGCAAGAAAAAAACCAATAATCATAATGTTAGAAGAAATTAGGTTGTATGTTATGGAGAGGCAATTCAATCTGAGCATCAAAGGTTGTTCATGGCCTGATTATAAACCATGTCCAGCCATTACAGTCCTATTGAATCAGTTGAAAAGAGCTCAAAGGTATTTCCTTTATCTTTGAATTTGAATTGAGTAGTTACACTTTAGACCCTAACTTATATACAATTGAAACAGGTATTGGTAGGTTTTACCTACTGGTTTAAACCAGTTTGAAACAAGAAATTTGGCAGAGTCTTATGTTGTGGATATAGATAAGAAGACTTGTTCATGTAGAGTGTGGCAACTAAATGGGTATGGATGTGTGCATTCAGTTGCAACAATCTCATACCTTAGCAGTGATGTTGGTAATTATGTGGATCCAATGTACTATTGACTAATTTATAAGAACACCTACAAGTTCCAATGCGTGGGATGAATGGTAGGAACATGTGGCCACCTACAAAATTCATTGCACCTTTGCCACCATTGAAGAGAAAAATGTCAGGTATACCAAAAGTTAATAGAAGAAAGGATGCAAATGAAAGGGATGTTAGATATACTGTGTCAAAGGTTGGGAAAAAAATTATGTGTAGTGTATGCAAGCAAAAAGGACATAACAAGGTTACATGCTCTCAAGCTGAAAAGCCAACAAAACTCAAGATAAAGAAAAAGAAGAGAGCAGATAGTAATGTTGGGGAAGGAAGCAGTGGTAAGAAGGCAAAGGATGGTAAAGATGAGCATGTTATAGATGAACAAGGAAGTAAGGGTAATAATGGCATTAATGGTAATGTTGGGGAAGGAAGCAGTGGTAAGAAGGCAATGGTTGGTAAAGATGAGAAAGGAGGTAGGGGTAAGAAGGTAATTATCAAGAAAAGAAAGAAGTCTGAAAGAATAATCAAGAAAAACTTGCTACATGGCTTGAGGGTAAAAATGGGTAAGGAAACACTATTGACAAGCCAATGAAACTTGAATAGGTATTAAATTTCTATGTCAGTTTCAGATCAAGTGTGGATGTTTGGTGTTATGTAGTTCTTATTTAGGATCCAAGAGAATGTTTCTGATTAAGTGTTTTAGCTTGATGTTATGTATTCAATGTGGTTATGATTGGTGTTATGTTTGTATGGTTGGTGTTTTGTATGCGAAGTAATGTTAATGGTTTCAATGTGCTTATGATTGTGTGTTATTCTTATGGATGTATGGTTTTGGGGTCCATTATTGACATTAGTCATGCGTATGGTCCTATTTATTATTGTTGAATATGGTTCACCTTTATTCTAGTTGAATATGGTCCCCATTTATTCTAGTTGAATATGGTTCGAAGTCATTATCAACAAATACACTACGAATCTAACTTGGGATCCCATATAACTAAACCTATTGTTTTATGATTAAAGTACAATGTCATTACATGGGTAATATAATACCCCTAATAATTTCCATAAAAAGCAAATAAACAACTGCTAAGTATTACAACTTGTAAACAATTATGCTAAAGAAAACAATCCAACTTAGAAGTAAAGACATCTTGAGCTTCCAAATCTTTTCTTCAAGCTTCTTTTTTGACCTAGCCAAACCTGCAATCATAACTGCTTCAACACTCATATTCTTAGTGTCTGCTTCATCTACCCAACAAATAAAACCATTACGAGGTCCTTAACAAAATCAATTTTCGAGTAAGAACTTGAGAATGAAACAAACAAATAAATTAGGGCTACTGGCTACAGGTGCCTAATAAACAAACTAACACAAACCTTAGTGGGACAAGCATAGAAGGGTCTTCTAGGGTTGGAAGGAGTGGAAGACATTCTTATTATGGCGACACATCCACATGAGCATTTCACCATTTTCGCTTCGTTAATTCCGAGAGCTCTTTACTTCAGAATGCAAACAATCACAGGGAAAAAGAAAGCTACTACGGAGTAAGGTAGTAAAGTACTAATAAAGAAGAAATGACAAAAATACCCCTTGATGAAAATACCCCTTTTGTTTGACCTCAAGCACATCTGTCATACTTGGTGCACCAAACACAATTAATTATCATTAAGTAAGGCAACCAAATGTCCAAATCGTTACCCTTAATCAACAACAAAACCCATTCAATCTCTTTACATTTCATAAAGATCATATCAAAACGCTTGTTACAGGTAAGCATGACTTCAAAATACATCCACAAATTACCTTTACAACCACCACTTGAGTACCACTACCTACACAAATTAGATTACCACTAAGACAAACGAACACACATAATCCTAATAACATATATGACAATAAAAACCATTAAACATAACAGAAGATTACGACCACTATAGTATCATACCACTACAAACCACTTCTATGAGATTCACTTGCTGATTATCAAGTGAATGATGAAAATCATTAGGAGGAGCATCACGGCGACAAGACCCACAACCAACAGTGCAATCGCTTTAATCTGCTTCTCAACCTTCTCGAACCTTTGCTGCATGTTGAGGACATCAACCTTGGAATGAAGGTAATCGCGACCCATCTCATTCTTCATGCGTTCCACCTCACCTTTTTGCTTAGCTATCTTTTCACCACAATCATAGAAGTTCGTGTGCAAATCGTTCAAGTTAAGCCCGTCTGTTGAGCTTATTGAGTTATTGGAGTTTATAGTATCTGGTGATGGTGGTGGGGTAGGCTCCATGGAAGACAGTGAAAGGCGAGTATTCTATTATCGGTTGTCGGCTAGTGTTTGGCCAGAAGTGGTAACAAAATTTTAGGGTTTTGTCCAGCAAACCCTTCAGTTATATAGTAGGAGACCACTAAACCCTTAGGGCCCAAGCAAGCCAACTTGGTGGGTGAGTCATTGATGTGCAAACCGAGTCGTGTGAGTTGACTCGCTAGCTTAGTTGGATGATGAGTAGGCAATGAAACCGGTTGAATTGGGTCAAAATCCTAAATTAGCCGGTTAAATGTTAATTCATGCCCTTATAAAGCCAAATAAATAATATAAGTGATCTTTTAAACCAAAACATGTAAGTTCGTGGGGCTACAGTGACATTTTCCCTATGAAAAACTGCTTATATTTAAGAAAATATTTACAAAAAATAGAGTTGGGTCTTCATTTTCAGTTTTCAATTAGAATTTTAGAAAGCACATTTGGTTGGAAATCGTGGAGTTTTTATTTTTCATCTTTGAAATGTGAAAACTTTAGAAAACTATAAAAATCAGTTTTTTAATTATTTACATGCAATTTGAAAACTGAAAATTTTCATATTCTTAGAAAACTTTGGAAATTTAACGAACCAAATGTATTTTCAAAATTTTAATTTTTCTTGGAAAATTCTTCATAACCAAACGCACCATAGATGTTGTTGGAGATTCCAAAAACTAAAGGCCGAAAACCAAAAAATAAAATAAAAGCTCTTACTGTCTTTCATTGATAAGAAAAAAATATATTTCATACCCACATGTCCAACCGCATATCCATAAGTCAAGATAATACATGATTGTTTTTACAACAATAATAAAATGCCATTAAATCGATAAAATCCTATCCATGTTATTGGAGAGAATACATATGTACGTTTTAAGTATCCATGGACAAAACAACGAAATAGCTTTATTTGTGGTGATTTGTTAGTGAAGAGTAGAGTGTAACAAGCATGGTTCATTGTATTATATAATATGGAAAATGATTAAAAAACTATATGCTAATCATATCTAAAGTTATTGTCATTTTGTCAGCCGTTCGGTTCATAACCAACAAATTCAAAGAACCTCAAAAAACAGCATAAAATTAATATTGTATCAAAACTTTGATACATTTTTGCAATTAGTTTCAAGTTATTAATAGAAATCATCAAAAATGCATTTTGTTAGCTAAAATAGTTATATAATAGGTAGAGTTCTCAATTTTGTTTCAAAAAGAGGCTTTTAAGGAAAAGAGATTGTACTATTATATGAAGTACATGAGCTATGTCTATTTAATCTAGGACACTAACATGTCTTGAGGCGGATGCTCTATAAAAATCAGACTAGATTACTATATGATATGTGGAGTCTTGAATTTGAAATATAAATGAGAATATATCAAACAACATACAACAAATGGGACTCCAAGACACAAGGTAAACGACATAAAAATATATCTACTTTAGAAGCAATTGGGGCATTTTATTAGCCCATTCTTGTTACATTCCGTACACGTCGTTCTTTTCCCATCGGCAAGTTTCATAAGATGGCTACCACTACACTTAACACACACTACAGACCGCACTCCAGCACACCTTTTGCATGGCCCTTCAGATTTGTTTAGTGGTATTTCAGCAAGGAGTGACCGGAATTTTCCCTGCTCATGCAACCGGAAAACTTCCTCTGCTCCACCGATATACCTACCCTTTATAAACAGGCTTGGCACTGCTGCTGATTTGCCCAACATTTGCAATAGTTCATCTCTGAAATCCGAGTGCATCGCTATATCTCTTTCTTGGTATAAAAACTTTAAACTTTTTAGTAAAGAGTGAACCCTCAAGCAATCTTTAGAAGTCTTTCGAATCCCTTTGACGCTTGTTGTGTACAGAATTACCAAATTGCTTCCTCCCGGGGGACAGATTTCCTTGAAATCCAAAAGGGTGTTTTTTTGTTTTGAGTTTTCTTCCTTAGCCTGATCAAAAGCCTCCTACACAAGAGTAGGTAAAACATTACAATGAAAAGTAGATATAGAATGAGATGATTACTTAAAAAAGATAAATGATGCATCTTACTTGAAATTTAAGGGATTTTTCAAGTTCTTGCACGATAGCCTCCATTCGTGGTCGTCCCTCATGGTTTCTCTTCAAACATTGATAAGCAATTTTTGCAAAAACTTTTAAAGAATCGGGATGTATGTCATCCTTTATGTTGCACCAAACAATTTCATGTAGCTTGTTACCTTTGATATGCACTCGTACCAATCTAGTAAGAGATGATTGACGCCCATCCTGATTGACAATACACAACCTTCCACACAAAACTTCAAACAACACCACACCAAAAGAATAAACGTCCGACTCCTTTGTTAGAACTCCATCCTCCATATATTGTGGATCAACATACCCAACCGTGCCTACGGTATTATTGGTGAAAAGAAATGTGTTTTTCTGATTAGCAGGACCAAATTTGGATAAACCAAAATCTGCTATTATGGCATTCCAATTTTCATCTAGTAAGATGTTAGAACTTTTAATATCGCGGTGTAATAGTCTTTGTTGGGTCCCCGCAGGATTATGAAGGTATGCAAGTCCACGAGCCGCATCTATGCATATTTTAAGGCGTCGAGCCCATGTTAACTCTTTGTTTTCGATATGTTCGTCAAGACTTTTCCTAGATGCATATTTGTATACAAGGATCTTTTGGCTTTTCTCATCACAAAAACCTAGGAGGGAGATGATGTTTTCATGCTTGTACTCTGAAAGCATCATGACCTCCTTCCAAAACTCACCATCTCCTTGACCAAATGAACGATCTAAAACTTTTATAGCCACTGTCGTATTCCCCTTCGAAGCGAGTATTCCCTGGTACACTTGTCCAAATCCTCCTCCCCCAATCCAGTTTTCTTTTGAAAAACTGTTGGTTGCTGCTATTAGATCAGCTAGTGGTATTCTAAGATGTTCAAACTGTTTTAGAAACGCCAT